TAAAAGTTTAATATTAAGCTAACTGGATTTTTTGTCAAATTCAATGAAAAGAAGTATGCACCTGTATATAATATATGTGTACTGATTAGGTGATAATTTCCTTTACAGGATATGGGCTTAAAGGTATTCACCAACTCAAAGATTCGTAAACCCAAAGTATGTCCACAGCCTGAACATTATGCGATGCGGACATCTCAAGGTCTAGCCTATTTAGGTAAAAAATGAATAAAAATTTATTTCCTAATATATCGAACCAAATAAAAGAATTTTTAAAGAGATAAAATGTAATAAAATTAACAAAAAAAGGACCTGTAATTCATACATATTATGGTTCTTGTTGAAGGTCACATAACAATATAAACCCAGCCCTTCCGATTGTATCAGGCCATCCGCACATGCAACACTGGCAACAGTGCAAGGCAGATTGTAAAAAGTCCTATAAGAGAGGTACAAATATGCAAAGGCAAGTATTAACTCTGCTTGAGGAATCAGATGTCATTCATGAAGAATTAGCTTCTGGTAAATGGAGATGTGTGAGGTTGAAAAGGGAAGGAAAAGCTTCCAGACATATTGCTAGAATCAGTGTAAACAGAAATAGAAATGTTCACAAAATAGAGCTACATTCTCATCGGTCAAGTAAAACAGCTCTTCAACTTCCCCAAAACATCAGCCAATATTCATGTGAGAACCACAAGCATTCATCAGTGATGTGTGCTACTTCGCTGACGAATCAGATAGTAATCAAGTGTTTATACTCTCATATTGTCAAATCATGGTTAAGGATAAGTTGAGTACAGACAAAAGAGGTTCAAAATACAAAAAAAACATTCAATGAGAATCAATTCACTATATGGAATGTGTTACAAAGATTATTGTATATATTTACATTATTTATAAATTATATTCTATGATCCTTTATCAGTAAGATTTAGAGTAAACTGACATATGTATGAGTACATATATGCACTATTTTTTTCCAGGAATTTGGTCATTAAATATTCACCAGCATAGCCTTAGCAGAAGGTGAACAGGGTAAAAGAACCTAACTCTGATTCTGACACAATATGGAATAAAGAGCCTTTTTTATCCTTGATCTTTTCACTCCTGTAAACTGTTTCCCAAAGCCACCGCCATAATGTCTGTGTCACGACTGAGAAACACACCAATGGAAACTTTGACCCCTGCTCTCCTCCCAACCCCATGTCACAGCACTCTCCACTTAGCGTAACGGCACAGCCACGCGGGACTCCGCAGCCCTTCCTCTTCACAGGCAATCCAAGGCTCTTTCTGCCAAGGTCTCTGTATCCTCTTCCCCCAGCTCACTCCTAGCTTATTCTAATACTTCAGAATTCAGCTGGAACATCACCTCCTCAAAGAAGCTTTCCCTAACCACCCACGTGCTCTCCCCTGGGTTCTGTTTCGTCACTCTTTATGTCTTGATAGCACCTATTACAATCTCTCATAAGCTTTAGCTTTAGTATTTATTGTTCCTGTCTTCTCCCTCACCCACTGTAGAAGGAGATGTAGGGCGAAGAGGCCATGAACGTGCAAATATTATGCATGTTGAAGAGGCTCACGCAGAGACTGTACGAAAGTACTTCCCCGAGACATGGATCTGGGATTTGGTGGTGGTGGAGTAAGTAACTTCCTTTATCTGCAAGATGTAACAACAGAGATCCCTCACTATATCCAATTCTTTGCTAATTTTCCTGTTTTTATTGTATGTACGTAAGGTGTACGACACAATGTTTTAATATACATATATGTAGTAAAATGATGACTGCAATCAAGAAAATTAACATATCTATAACCTCACGTTGTTACCTGTTTTTGTGTGTGTGGCAAGAGCACCTAAAAATCTATCCTCTTAGCCAATTTCCAGTATACAATATAATATTATAACTATAGCCTTCATGCTGTACCTTAGATCTCTGGATTTATTCATCCTACAAAACTGCAACTTTGTAGCCTTTGACCTGCATCTCCCCACCACACCCCCATGATTCTATTCTCTGTTTCTATGTGTTGAATTTCTTTTAGATTGCACATACAAGTGAGATCATGTAATATTTTTCTTTCCGTGTCTGGTTTATTTCACTTAGCCTAATGTCCTCCAGGTTCATCCATATTGTCACAAATGGCAGGATCTTTTTCCTTTTAAGACTGAATAGTATTGCATTATACAAACACACACGCGCGCATGCGTACACACGCGCGCATGCGTGCACACACTCTCACACACACACATACACACACACACACACACACACACACACACCACAATTTCTTTATCCATTCATCCATGGATGGATACTTAGGCTGTTTCCCTATGTTGGCTACTGTGAATAATGCTGCAATGAACACAGGAGTGCTTACATTAAATATATGCACTCTACAAAGTGCCTATTTCATTGCCTTTGGGTATATATCTAGAAAAGGGATTTCTGGATCATACAGTAGTTTCATTTTTAATTTTTTAAGGAATCTCCATACTGTTTTCTATAATGGCTGTACCAATTTATATTCCCACCAACAGTGTGAACACCAAGGAGTGTGAGCACACTCCTTCCAGAGAAAACCTGGAGTCTGGTTTTTATCACTGGAAGGGTGTAGGGGGGCCAATGGAAGAGGGGAAGTTCCCAAACTCCTTTTCAGGCTCCTGGAGGTCTCTTGTTTACCTGGCCCTTCTGCTCCCAGATGCCGGCTAGTTAGAAGCCAACTCTCAGGCAGCAACTGAGAAAATGTGTAAACAAACCCCTTCCAGGGAGAAACTGGGAGCTCTTGGCTAATTTTTCAGTATTGAAGTACTTCTTTTAAACACATTGGTATTTTCAGGAGTGGTTTAGCATAAATACTCTGTTACAAAGTCACACTAAATGGAATCAAAGCTAAGAAATTCTGCACAAGTTTAATTTAAAGGTTTCTTAAAAAAAAATGGGCATAAGGACCAAAGATAACAAAATACTGCAGAGATAAGCGTGTGCAAAAGATCCTATATTGGTCAACAGTCTTGAGTTAAGCACAGATTCAGTCAGGCCAGCTATACACAATAGTAATAGAATTAAAAACTATAAAGCAACCCTCAGTGGAACAGCATTTTAGAAAAAAAAACTTAAGGACAATCTCAAATTACATGTTAAGTTTATAGCTATTTTGTCTGTAAAAGATTATGCTATAGCTGTACATATAGAGGAGATTCTGATAAAGACTAGCACTGAAAACAGAATTGGAAGAAAGGGAGGACCTATATATTCCCATCTCAGCCTTGATTATACTCTCAATTATTGATATTTCTATTGAATGCATTCAACTATGACAATAAAATCATTTATAGGGGTTCTTGTCCCAGAAAGGATTTATTTAACTGCTTTCTTTCTGTTCTTCACATTGCCCTCCTCCCCAGCTCATCAGGTGTGGCCGAGGTAGGAGTATCCATCCCTGACACCATCACGGAGTGGAAGGCAGGGGCCCTCTGCCTGTCCCAAGACACTGGACTTGGTCTCTCTCCCACTGCCTCTCTCCGAGCCTTCCAGCCTTTCTTTGTGGAGCTCACGATGCCCTACTCTGTGATCCGCGGAGAGGCCTTCACACTCAAGGCCACTGTCTTAAACTACCTTCCCAAATGCATTCGGGTAAGGAGCTCTTTCCTAACTGTATACAAGGTAGCAGTCAAGTAAATTAAAAGTTGCATGCCTAGGAGTACTAACTCTTGTGTACAATATGTGCTAACTAGAGGAAGAATACTATCAGATATTCATATGTTATATAAGTTACAGTTGCTCTCTCCAAATAACAAATTGCAACTTAAAACAAGTTTCTAGCCCTTATCATAACCGTTTAAAGTTCAGTAGTTTGTGTAATATGAAGATTTCTGACACGGACAACAAAAAGTCAGTTCTCTTCATCCTCATGTCTTATTTAGATTCTTCAAGGTTTCAGCCTCTACATTCTCATATATTTAATTTTTCATAGCTCATTCATCATATTAAGCCTAATTTTAAAAGTTATTTGTGAGCATCTTACCTCTGCTGAAACCATAACTCTTTATAAATCTTGTATACTCTGCTGGGAGAGCTAAGGAAATAGGCAAGGTTCCAGACCGAAGACCTAGAGCAACATGACATCATTACCTCTCCCCTCTTTGTTCCCACCACACGAAAGAGCACGTTGCAACCAAAGTACTCAGATTTAGATGTCAGATCCACCTAAATGTACTAAAGGTGCTTGGTGTTTTGTATCATCATTAATATCAGGCAACCTGAAATCTAACCAATCCCTCAATATGCTTTACTTCAAACCCACTCTCCGTCTGGTCTCCTTTTCCCTCTAATCTGTCTCACATGTGGTTTCAGGTCAGTGTGCAGCTGGAAGCCACTCCCGCATTCCTAGCTGTCCCAGTGGAGAAAGAACAAGAGTCTCACTGCATCTGTGGGAACGGGCGGCAAACTGTGTCCTGGGAAGTAACCCCAAAGTCGCTAGGTGAGGGGCAGACTCCTAGAAATAATTCTCTACTCAAAAATTGTATATATCCATGGGAACTTTACATTCAACACCACTTTCCTCAGGAAAAGATCCCAGATGGTACGATATTTTTCCTCTCTCTTTCACTGTAGGATTCCTAGAAGGATATCCCCAAACATCTCCACCTTGGATTCTAAGCATCATTAGCCTCTCATTTATGCTGTTTCCATTCCTGCTCCAGTGTTTTTATAAAGCAAAAATAAAACAGAGCATTGAACGTTTATAAATCTCGAGTTTGGAGACGTGGAGGAAGAGGGAAGATGATACTCATCTTTATTGGCTCCCTTTTTTTTCCAGGAAATGTGAATTTTACTGTGAGCGCAGAAGCACTAGAGACTTCAGAGTTGTGTGGGACTGAGAAGCCTACAGTCCCTGAATATGGAAAGAAAGACACAATCATTAAGCCCCTATTAGTTGAAGTAAGTAAGCCTGCCCATTTGATAGGTCACACTGAGTCACAAAAGCAATGTTTAATACAGTTGGGGTTTCAGCTTTTAGGTAAGAAGACCTAAATAATATATGGTCAATAATATCCATAATAATAAACTAATAATATACCTGGGTAATATAATAATTATTATGGATATTTCACAATAGTATTCTTTTTTATCTACCTACCTACCCATCTATCATCTATTTCTCTTGATTTATTTTCTTAATTTTTCCTTACTTTCTCATGTACCAACCTGTCCTCTTCATATCACGTATACTTACAGAGTTTGTGTATATAATGCAGTTCAAATTCCTCCCTTCACTATCCGGAAATCTGTGGTTCCCCTATCAACATATGTGTCCTGAAAGTCGGTCCATTCTCACCTCTAACTTCTCTTTCTTTTACTTAAAGCCTGAAGGACTAAAGAAAGAAGTAACATTCAACTCCCTGCTTTGCCCATCAGGTAAGAGTCAACCATCATAATTTTAAAAACATTGGCTAAAGTTTATATAACATTTGAAGTTCAAAGAACTTTTGTATATTATTTTTACACTTTCCTTATGAGGTAAGACCTGAAGTACCATCAACACATTTGACAGATGAGAAAAATGGTTCATAGAGAGACCAAGTAATTTGATCGGGAGAAAATTCTTAGCCCGTGCATTCCGAGTCTTGATCTCTTGCAGCACTTATGTGAACACCAAAATGTCTTCCTGAATAGTGTGTAGTGTGGGCATAGGTAGAAAGTGGGTAGAGTCAAAATGAATATTGCCAAAGGGGATATTTCCTTGAATAATTACTAATATAATATATGGATAGCTGAATTCAGGCCATTCCAACACTGAGTTTTGCATAGACGGTGTCATTTGATAACGAGAACATGCTATTTTCCAAAGGAAGAATTGTTGTGGTTTTTACCATTATTATCATATTAATATTTGATGCTAATCCTGTACCTAATGCACTATCAATGTCATTTGAAAAGGCACTGAAAAAACTCACAGTAAAAAATATAACTTTATCTTGGTGAAGAATTTTCTAGTCTAAACAAAAACATTTACAGAAATGTAGTACACTAAGAAATGTACTAACACAATGTGTTCTCATCCCAAACCAATGTCAAATCAAGATCATACATATGTTCATTGCCTTTCTCTGTCTACCCGCTAATGTCTTTTTCCTATGCTTTTTATGTTGTCAAGACTTAATGTATAAAATGTGTTCTAAAAACATTATTTCCTGGTTTTTAGCTTTATTTCTACATTTAAGTGCATGTAGTGCTTACCACTCGATCCTTTTATCATGACTTCTCCTCCATTTCTGAGTTATTCATTTTGATTTATCTTTTCGGTATCAGTGCCAATCATCAAGCAATTTTATTAAAATTTATTTTAATTACCCATGTAATTATACAAAAATGAATTCTCCTTTAAGAAAACAAAACAGAACATCATATTAAAGGCTGATGTCATTCCCTCACAATATTTTTCAATACTTAATACTGATCCCTGGGCCTTTAGAAATAATATGTGTAGATGTGTGTTTGTGTATGTTACATAAATCATATTACACAAATTATATAACTTTCACTCTATAATTCTTTGTTTTTTAATTAGCAATCTGTCTTGGAGATCTATCTATGTTAAATTGTAGATCAAATCATTACTTTCAATTGCTTTGAATTCTATAATATCAATATATCACAATTCTGCTCGGCCTTTATAACCTTCCCATATTGGTTTTTCCAACTATTTGTTAACAAAAAAAATAATTAATTAATGATAATAATAGCCTCCTGTGTACATATGTAAGTGTACCTAGGGTAGATGCCAAAATGTGAAATTCCTGAGTCAGAGGTGGGAATAGATGCCAACATCCAGATACAGAAAGCACAGTGTTCCTCAGTCAAATTCAACCCAAAGAAGAGTTCACTAAGACACGTTATAATCAAACTATCGAAAATCAAAATAAAGAAAAAAATTCTGAGACCAGAAAGAGACAGCACATCACATACAAAATAATTCTAATATGACCATCAGCAGATTTTCAGCAGAAACCTTGCAGGCCAGGAGGAAGTGATATAGTCAAAGCACTGAAGGGAAAGAAAAATCCCTGCCAACCAGGAATATTTTATCCAGGAAAGCCATCTTTCAGAAATGAAGGAGAAATAGAAACTTCACAGAGAAACAAAAGCCGAGGGAGTTCATCATCACTAGGCCTGCCTTACAGGAATTACAGGAAGAGAGTTCATTAAGCTGAAACCAAAGCCTGCTAATTAGTAACATAAAAAATACAAAAGCACAACACCTAATGATATAAGTAATACGAAGCCATATTCAGAATATGCTATAAATGTAATGATGATGTGTAAACCAATTTTATCCCTAGCATGAGGATTAAAAGTCAAAACTATTAACAACAACTATAGTTAAAATAAATTGTCAATGAAAAAAAAAATAGTCAATGGATACATGTGACTAAATGATGTAATTTCTGACATCAAAAACATAAAATGTGTATGAGGAAGTAAAAGTATGCAAAGTTGTTATCAGCTTGAAATAGACTGTTATAAGTATGAAATGTTCTAGATAAGCCTCATGGTAATCCACAAAGCAAAAATCTTTAGTAGAAGCACAAAAAACCAAAACAGAACAAAAAAAGATTTGCATACCACTATAGAAAGCCATCTAACCACAAAGGAAGACAGCAAGAGAGAAATAAAGAAAAAAAATCTGCAAAACAAGCAGCAAACAATGAACAAGATGGCAGAAGTAAATTCTTTCCTATTAATAATTACCTTGAAGGTAAGTAGATTAAATTCTCCAATAAAAAGGCATAGAGTGACTGAAAGGAGTAACAAAAAGCAAGACCCAACTATATGCTGCTTAAAAAATACTCACCCAATTTTTAAGGACTCACATAGACTGAAAGTGGAGGAAAGGAAAAAGATAGATACTGCATGCAAATGGAAACCCAAAACAAGCAAGGGTAGCTATACTTACACAAAATAGACATTAAATCAAAACTTTAGAATTATTTTGTATGTAATATGTTGTCTCTTTCTGGTCTCAGAATTTTTATCTTTATCTTTGATTTTTGATAGTTTGATTATTATGTGTCTTAGTGAACTCTTCTTTGAGTTGAATTTGACTGGGGAACACTGTGCTTCCTGTACCTGGATGTTGGCATCTATCCCCAGATTAGGGAAGTTTTCAACCATTATTGCTATAACTATGCTTTCTGAGTTTTCTCTTTCTTCTCCTTCTGGAATGCCTTTGATGCAAAGATTTGGTTTCTTGATGATGTTTCATAATTCCCATAAATTTTCTTCATTCTTTTTCATTATTTTGTCTTTTTGTTCCTCTGATTGGATAATTTCAAATATTCTGTCTTTGAGCTCACTGATGCTTTCCTCTGCTTGATCAAGTCTGCTGTTGAAGCTTTCTATTGAATTTTTTAGTTAGTCATTGTATGCTTTATTTCTAGAATTTCTATTTGGTTTATTTTTAGTTTTTTCTATTTTCATGTCAAACTTCTTATTTTGTTTGGGTATCATTTTCCAAATTTTAATTAATTGTATTTATATATTTTTGTAGTTCACTGAACTTCTTTTAGAGGATTATTCTGAATTCTTTGTCAGTGATTTCATAAATCTCCATTTCTGTAAGGTCAATTTTTGTCAGTTTCTTTTGGCGGTGTCATGATTCTCTGATTCTTCATAATCCTTGTTTCCTTGAATCATTGTCTGCACATTTGAGGAGACAACCACCTCTTCTGACCTTTATAGGTATTCCTTGGCAGGGATAAACATTTGCTATTTAGTGTAGCCTGTAATTTTGGAAGGGCCATCTGGTGACAACCTCAAGCAGGCAGATCTTATCATGGGTTCCCTAGTTAACTGGGCCACTACCTTTGTTCCGATGTTGGGTGGTGCCACTGGCTATGTTTGCCATCTGGTAAGATCACTTATTTGGCTCTACTATCAGGTGGAGCTGCTATCTGTGTACTTCAATGGCCTCTCATCAGGCCGGTCAGAAGATTTATTGCCTGGCTGGATGATTCAAGTTCCAAGCAGCAATCAGGGCCACAGGCTGGGCTCTGTGGTTATATGCAGTTGCTGCTTGGGGATGGGCAGGACCAAAGACTATGTCCTTAGAAATTCATGATTGAGGCTGTCCCCTCTGTGTGAGTGGAGCCATAGGGTGAGGTTTTGGCTGAATTGAGCTGCTGCTTAACCTCTCAGGTCAAGCAGGCCTAGCCCCTACATTTCTACAAAATGTGTGGAGGTAGGTATCTCCCTGCCTGGGCAAAGTCATTGGGTGGGCCTTTTGGCTGAGCTGAGCCACATTTTAGACAACTGGGTCAAGCAGGTATATCCCCTATACTTCTCTGAAATGTGCAGAGGCCTGTGTCTCCTACCTGGGCAGGGGCATTGGGATGGGTTCTGAGGCTGAGCTTAGAGACTGGCCATCTAGAATCTTAAGCCAGGTTGAACATAGCATCATGCTTCTGAAAGTGACCAGCTCAGATTTGCAGGTAGGCTATACAGTTGGCTGGTGTCTCTGAATGGGCACCATAGATGGCAGAAACACAGAGTTACCACCAAGATTCACATGCTTGTCACTGTGAGCTCTTTATACTTTCTTTGTTTTCACTTGACCCCAGCTGGTCTAGCCAAGCCATTCCTCCCAGTGTTCTCCAGGAGGTTAGACCACCATTGGCTTCCTGAAAAGTGTCTCAGAATGCTTGGGAAGCTATATGACTCCCTCTGGTTCTCTTTTCCCCCTGTAGAAATTGTGGGCCCCAGAGAATCCTCTCCATCTGGCACTGTGCTAATTTAAGGGAAAGGATGAGATGGCATGATCAAATTGAGACCATTCTTCTTACTCTTCTAATTTGGTTTTCATTCAGTTCGTGAACTACACAGGTGTCCCAGATTTGTTTCCAAGTATTGGGGTTTTCGAAAGGATGTTCTGATTTGTAGATGGTTGATAGTTGAACTTTCTGTGGAGGGAGGAGGAGCCTGAGACTTCCTATTCCACCATTTTGCTCTATTCTGAGTTTTAGTAGAACTAAAAAAATCCCCCCTCTTTATTAACTAAATACATTTATACTTCCACCAGCATACAATTTTATAATGTATACTCACCATCACCATCACTATCAATGTTTTAATTTTGGCCAAAAATGTAGATGAAAAAAATGTTTTGCTATTGTTTTAGTTTATATTTCCCTAATCACAAGTGTTAGGAATAAGGATGAGCTTATTTTTTCACATTTATGAATTGCCTTCATAGCCTTTGACCATTCACATTTTGAGTAATTTGTATTTTTCTGATTCAGTTGTAGTATGACACTTATTCTTTACCTATTAATTATGTTGCAGATATTTTCTTTCACTTGTTCATTTGTCTTTTAACTTTCTTTTTAGCATCTGTTTTCTTACAAAAGGTTTAATATTAATTTTATGAGAAAAAGATAAATACTACACTTTTCTCATTTTCATCTTCATATAATTCACCAAGATTAAAATGGCAGTAAACATATGTTCATCAGTAGCAATTATTTTATTTTCAATGATTCAAAACATTTTATTTCACTTGTTCATTTGTTCTTTGTCTTTGCTTAAGGCATCTGTATTTTTTATAAAAGTTTTAATGTTAATTTTATGAAGTATTCAGTATGAAAATAAAAACTACAATTCTCTCATTTTCATCTTCAAATAATTCACCAGATTAAAATGGCAGTAAATGTATGTTTGTCGTGTTATTTTATTTTCAATGAGTCAAATACTATTCAAGTTCACCTCTCCACCCTTATTTTCTAGGTCTTTCAAAAAATACTGTGTTTATATTTGGTAAAATTTGACTGAAGAAAGGACATAACATTGTTGTAAAAATCTGGACCTTTGAAGAAATTTTTCCTTTGCTCATATATATATATGCTTACAGGGCATTTTTGGGGGGTTTTCCCCATACAACTGTTGAGTGAGGAGGTTAAGGTGGGCACTAAATAGATCATTTTGTGATAACCATCTTGTGTTAGCCATCAGATGACTAACAGATGAAATGGAATCACAACATACCCAGCTTGTATCGGTTTGTTATCTTTTTTTGGAATGTAATTCTACATATAAGGGAAAGGATAGTTGGAAAAGAAATTCTGAAAATTTCAGAATCCCACTAGCCCATTTTTAAGATATTAAAAAACTTCTATTAAAAGGTGGGGCAACTTTTCAGGATAAGTTTAGATGTAAGGCATAGTCCTACCTTCTGGGTCATAAAGCTCTTCAGAAAGATAAAATGCAGAAATAATTTTCATATGGCTGATTTCTTTCTCTAGGTGCTGAGGTAACTGAAGAATTATCCCTAAAGCTGCCACCAAATATGGTAGAAGAATCTGCCCGAGCCTCTGTCTCACTTGTGGGTGAGTCTCTAGCCCCTAGTGGATTTGGGCATTAATAGCTTCTACTATATTTATTTCCATACATATTTACTAAAATAACAACTATAATTTTAGCTTCTTTTTTCTTTCCTTCTTTGGGCTTGTTTATTGCTTCCAATCATATTTCTGTCCCTGGAAGTCTCACCCTTCCTAAAATGCCTCGTTTTTTTAGCTTGACTAGTTATTTATTCTTAAGGATTCTGATAGATTATAATCTCTAAGCTTTATGACTTCCCATCTCTCCCATTCCCCAGGAGACATATTAGGCTCTGCCATGCAAAACACACAAGATCTCCTACAGATGCCCTATGGCTGTGGAGAACAGAATATGGCCCTCTTTGCTCCAAACATCTATGTTCTGGATTATCTAAATGAAACACAGCAGCTGACTCCAGATATCAAGTCCAAGGCCATCGGTTATCTCAACACCGGTGAGTGTTATTTCAACTGGATTTCTCAAGAGGCTTCAGTTATGTATCAATAGTATAACACATTAGCTTATCATTATGATAGGTACTATGATAAGAATATTACGGTACTTAATTTCGTGGAAACTATCCACTCTCCAACCTCCAAGAAAATGTTTAAGGCTCAGAACTTTCTAATATATAACAACAAATTTAAGAAAGGTCACAAGAGGCAGGACGAGGTGGCTCACGCCTGTAATCCTAGCACTCTGGGAGGCCGAGGCGGGTGGATCGTTTGAGCTCAGGAGTTTGAGACCAGCCTGAGCCAGAGCGAGATCCCGTCTCTACTAAAAATAGAAAGAAATTGGGCAAACAACTAAAAATAGAAAAAAGAAAATTAGCCGGGCATGGTGGCGCATGCCTGTAGTCCCAGCTACCTGGGAGGCTGAGGCAGGAGGATCGCTTGAGCCCAGGAGTTTGAGGTTCCATGGCACTCTAGCCCGGGCAACAGAGTGAGACTCTGTCTCAATAAAAAAAAAAAAAAAAAAAAAGAAAGGTCACAAGAAAAGCCAACATATTTTAGTATTTTCTCTGGCCTCAGCATGAACATTAATCTGTCATGTTGTTTCATGAACCTTCCACTCCAGGCTATCAGAGACAGTTGATCTACAAGCACCATGATGGCTCCTACAGCACCTTTGGGGAGCAACGTGGCAGGAGCCAGGGCAACACCTGGTAAGGAAAGAATAATTTTTTGGGCTATTTGTGTGCCAGCTCTTTCAAATATATTATCACTATTATATTCACAGCAACTCTAACCAATATGCATTATTAGACCTATAGTTGGTTATACTTGATAAATACACCAAGATTAGCAAGGTAACAAGCAGAAAAGCTGATATCCAAATGCATATGTGTTAGACCTATTACCAAAACTCATCTTGTTAATAATATACCAAAGCATTCTTTCCAAAATAGCTACTCTTTCTAAAATAGCTCTCATAACCATGAGTTTTTTAAATGATGTGGCCAGTGAACATACCACATAACTTCCAGATAAATCATGTTAACTTCAGCTTATATTATGTCTTATAGATCATACTTATCTTGACTTAGAATAAATTGGGAAGACAGTAATATGAAACATTATTTTTTAAAATCCCTAAGGCAGAGCAATAGTAGAAGTTATTGTATACAAGAGCTGCACGTGAGAAGATTCTGTCATCCACTGAAAGAAATCTCTAAAGAGAAGAGAAATTTAAAGACTTACTGAAATAATTTAGAAAAATAAGGAAATTAGAAGTACTTAGACTCCCTGTAGCAAAGGGAAAGTGAGTCAGCAGGGAAATACCAGATCTAGCAGATTAATCAAAGAGTAAAGGGGATGGACATTCTAAGTACATGAGAATTCCTGTTAGATAACTCGCGGCAATGTAAGAAGTGTCCTGTGAAGCCTGTTGTTGTGAACCGGCTATAGAACCATTCTAACAACATAAATATCTTCATCACTTCCTCCCCTCTCAGGCTCACGGCCTTTATACTGAAGAGTTTTGCCCAGGCTCGAAACCACATCTTCATCGACGAAGCACACATCACCCAGGCCCTCACCTGGCTCTCCCAGAAGCAGAAGGGCAACGGCTGTTTCAGGAGCTCTGGGTCACTGTTCAACAATGCCATGAAGGTGAACCGTTCTGGAGCTAGTTTTGTTTTGTCCATTATGATATCCACAAGGATGAGGAGAGAAAGGAATAATGCAGAAATTCTTAAGGGAAGGTATCAGAGAAAAATAAAACCTGGATAGCACCAAGAAAGAGAGGATGGAACTTACTTGGTTATAATATTTTGCCCCACAGGAATGGATGTGTGTAGGGATAAATTGCATGACACAGCAGATGGAAAGAGCTGATCAAGAGCATTCTCAGAAGTAGAATTACTCAAATCTCTCCCGCTCATGTTTACAGGGAGGAGTAGAAGACGAAGCGACCCTCTCCGCCTATATTACAATTGCTCTTCTGGAGATTCCTCTCCCAGTCACTGTAGGTACTACCTCATGCCTCCGCTGAAGGTAGTTCTGGATGCGTTTAAACCACTTACCTGCTTCTCAACTACTATCCTGCTAAAAGAAGTGTCAGCTTTCCTTCTATGCAGTGCTAATGCTTCCCAGATGGATAGAGAATTTTGTCAATCCATTAAGAAAGGTTTCTTAGTGATGCCCCAGGCTATTTCTCCAGCCCCCCAAAGAAATCCTAAAGTTAGCCTGGCGCAGTGGCTCACGCCTGTAATCCTAGCACTCTGGGAGACCGAGGCGGGCGGACTGTTTGAGCTCAGGAGTTCGAAACCAGCCTGAGCAAGAGCGAGACCCCGTCTCTACTAAAAATAGAAAGAAATTAATCGGACAACTAAAAATATATAGAAAAAATTAGCCGGGCATGGTGGCGCATGCCTGTAGTCCCAGCTACTCGGGAGGCTGAGGCAGGAGGATTGCTTGAGCCCAGGAGTTTGAGGAGCTAGGCTGACGCCACGGCACTCTAGCCCAGGCAACACAGTGAGACTTTGTCTCAAAAAAAAAAAAAAAAAAATCCTAAAGTTATGCCTTTTGAATATGAAAATAACAGATAAAAATACTATTCTGTCTATCATAAGAATGAGAAATAGATGGAAAAATGCATTTGAAAAACTTCTGTGTGTTTACCTGGGAATGCTAGCACCCTGTTCACTGCCTTCTCATGGTCCTTTCACAGCATCCTGTTGTCCGCAACGCCCTGTTCTGCCTGGAGTCAGCCTGGAAGTCAGCAAAGGAAGGAGCCAGTGGCAGCCATGTCTACACCAAGGCGCTATTGGCCTATGCTTTTGCCCTGGCAGGTAACCAGGACAAGAGAGCAGAAGTACTCAAGTCCCTTAATGAGGAATCTGTGAAGAAAGGTGAGAGCAAACCTGAGATCCTTCTTCTGTCCCGTGTTCTCTGTATCAAGAACTACACTGCAAAAACCCTCTCCTTCTACTTTCTGTGATCCCTGCCCCCTCTCTTCTTTTATCTATATCATATATATTTTGTCCATATCATACTTTTGTAAAATCTAATTCAATTTTTATAAAATTTAATCAAATCATACATCCAAAGATAAAAGGCAATACAGCTGCTCCTCAACTTACGACGGGGTTGAGTCCGAATAAATTCATGGTGAAGTCAAAAAAATCATTAAATCAAACCATCGTAACTTGGGGACCATCTGTATGTGTAGTAGTGAGAAGCTCAGCCTCTGGAGACTAGCTCCAGAATCTACCACTTATGTAATCTTGGGAAAGTCATTAACTTGTCTGTGTTTCAGTTCCTTCATCAGTAAAATGGGGATAATAGTATTTACTTCATAGTGTTATTGTGAGTATTAAATAAGTTAACACATATGAAACACTTAGTATAGTATATGGCACGTAGTTAATGAAAGTATGAGCTATTATTACTAAAATATCTATTCTTAATATATACCCAACCCTATGGTACATCATGTCATCTTAAGGAAAAATTGATGGAGGTCACCCCATGAATAAATTCTGGTATTTTAAGCTCATTTAACAAAACCAATAATGTTGACCAATCTATTCACATTCACACAATACTTCTACGTATACGATGGTCTCTACGAAGGACTGAAGAAAAAAATAAAATACAAATTATAAGATGTACAATAAAATACATTCAACCTTTCTCTTTTGACAATGCCATTAATTCTTTTTAAAATTTATTTGGAAATATTTCAGATACACAAAAAAGGCATAAAGAATAATTAGCAAACACCTGTATAACTCCTTTCCATCATAAGAAATAAAATATTAATATTATCAATGCAGGAAAAATCCCCTGTGTACCTCTTCCACCCCCAGAGGTAATCATTATCCTGAATTTGTCATTATAACATCCATAGATTTCTTTGTATTTTTGCTGCATATGTATCCCTAAGTAATATTCATAATTTTTAGATTGTTTTCATCTGTAGATAAGCCGTATCACACTTTTGGATATTTTGGAAGCTTGTTTTTTTGTTTATTCGTTTGCCTTTTATTTTTTAAGTTCAACATTATGCTAATGAAGTCTCTTGTATGCATGCCTGTAGCTCTAGTTCATTAATTTTCACTGCTGCATAATATATTACGGTATAAAAATAGGTCATAGTTTACATACTGAGTTTCTCCTCATGGATCTTTTCTTCTTGTTGTTTGCTATTGCAAACAGTGCTGCAGTGAATACTCATGTGCCTGTCTCCTTGTGCACGTGTGTGAGTTTCCCCAAGTTATTCAAAAAGTAAGGTGACTCAAACAATGAGTGCGATGCGCACCTCCGGGGGAATGGACACGCTTGAAGCTCGGACTTGTGGGGGAGGGAGGGTAAGGGCATCATACGTAACCTAATCATCTGTACCTCCATAACATGCTGAAATAAAAAAAAAAAAAAAGTAAGGTGACTGATTAGTGGGCTAAGCACATCTTCCCCTTTGCTAAATGTCGCCAAACGGCTCTCCAAAGAGCAGCTGACATCCCACAGCAGTGTATATTGCTTGTCATTGTTTCATATCCATGTCAGCCTTTGGTATTTCAAGGATTACTGTATTTTTTTTCCAATCTACTAAGTGTAAATTCCATTATTTCATGTAATCTGTGATCCTCACAAGAAACCTCTAAGGACGGGCTTCATAGGAAATTTAACAAATTCCACGTAAGTTCTAGGTAACGTCAGAAATAGGAAATAACCACAACCAGTGAGAGAACTTGCTCTGCCATTTCTTTCTCCCACAAACCCAACTATAGCAATTATTTGAAATCATAGATGAGTATAGGCCTCTGATCCCAGCACCATTACCTGTCTTACCTAGGCTGAAACACACCGAGTTCATGTTTACAAAGAAGGAAAAGCTTTATTAATATGTAAGGTTCGAGAGACTACAATTGGAATGCAACCCTCACTTCAGCACTGACTTGGGTATTTTACTATGAATTCAATATGAATATGTGTCACTTATAAATACCTCTTTCTCACACCCAGACAATTCAGTCCATTGGGAGCGACCTGAGAAACCCAAGGCACAAGTGGGGCATTTTTACCAGCCCCAGGCTCCCTCTGCTGAGGTGGAGATGACGTCCTACGTGCTCCTCGCTCACCTCACAGCCCAGCCGGCCCCCACCTCGGAGGACCTGACTTCTGCAACACACATTGTGAAGTGGATCACAAAGCAGCAGAATTCCCACGGCGGTTTCTCCTCCACCCAGGTCGGTGATTTGCCAGAACCTTTTTTTTTTTTATTTTAT